AATACCATAGTTTTCACTTGAAAGTGGGAGCTAAGCTATGAGGACAAAAAGACATACAGAGTGATTTAATGCACTTTGGGGACTTGGGGTGGGAAGGTGGGGGGGTGAGGGATGAAAGACTACATATTGGGTACAGTGTATGTATGCTGCTTGCGTGACGGGTGCACTAAAATCACAGCGCCACCATAGAGTTCATCCATGTAATAAGAAAACATTTGTATCCCAAAAGCTATTGCAGTTTTACCAACGGTGGACAAATGTTCTGAAAGCTTCCTACTCAACATTTTTCTGTTAATATGTACTGCATATGCACATTTTTATATTGGGGGCATTCTAAAGGTTTACTTTGCTCTAAAAGAAATATTTAATGAGTTTCAGAATAACGAGATTTTTCTGGTTGTGATTAAGCTTAAAAGGAAGGCTGAGAAATTTCTTAACTACTCAAATAGAGCCTGTTCAACTATATGAAATGTCATTACGGAGACACTCATTATGCTTTTCCTATAGAACAAGTAATTGTGTTTCTCTGCAGGTAGAGAGGGTTTTTGAGGAGCGTGAGGGTGGTTGGACAAGCTGGGTAGACCTGCAAAAGGGCCAGCGGCTCTCTGCACGACTCTGGCCCTCCCTCACCTTCCCTTGGCTTGCACAGGCTGCCCTGCGTCTTGGAGTTGCGGCAGTGACCCTGCCTGTCCTTGCTTGTGGGTCTGCCGCATCTTTCTTTGCTGCTGATGGTTTTAGCACAGAGGGGGCAGGTGCTTTTTATTGCTCACCGGAGGCAGATGCATCTACTGCTGTGCTCTCTTGCCCACCCCCTGTGCAGCATCATTAGGAAAGCTAGACACAAGTGATTCAGAATGGCTTAGGGGGTTTCCTAAGCCAAGTCAGATAACCTCTTGAAGTATCTTTTTGTAGCCCTGAAAGCAGAGTATATTTTCAGAGGTTTAAAGGTGAAAACTCTTTAACTGGGTCAAAAACAGTAACGTGACTTTTCTCCCCAACAGTTTGTTTTGCCCTAGAGCTGGTCAAGTGAGTTGAATCTCACCTGTGATTAGGTCTACATTTTAACACAGGTTTGGCTGTGGGAAGAGGCAAGGCTTTGGTGGGAGAAACAGGACAAAGTACCGTTGACCCTGAATGGAGTTCTCTGTGGAAATAGATTGGCTAATACCTCATGTGTTGCCAACGCAGGTGTACCCAGGAAGGATGTGGGAAGCACTTTGCATCACCCAGCAAGCTGAAACGACATGCCAAGGCCCATGAGGGTATGTACAGACAGCCTGGGTGTGCTCCTCTGAAGGGATGCCAAATCTGGGGTGCCTTTGAGTCTGTTCCATGATCACGCTGACAAGATGGGAACTCTCTGGGTGGGGGACACCATCCTGCTTATTGGGGTCTTACACTCTTGTCCAAAGAGGCAGTGTCTATGTCTGTTCTTTCACTACGTGTCATTGCTGTTCACAACAAGCACCCGGTTCTGCGTTACACTGACGAATGTGCTGGTGCTCCAGCCATGGCTTTGATGCTTCTGTCATTTTTAACCTCTTCCATTAATATTTACTGCCTGTGCCACTCGTTTCCTTGTTGGCCATTCATAAGGCTTGGATCATAGTGTGACGTTTTGAGAGCCATCAGATGTTATGTTTCTCAAAACAAGACTTGATTACATTAAATACTTGAGTCTATTTGTTTCCTAGAGGGATTTTTGCTAATCTGTATTTCAATTTTCCATGTTCTAGAATTTATAATTTTTTTTTAAAGAGGTTAGTAGTTAACAGTGAGAGGCAGCCTCATTGTTTTAGTTTCTAATTGGGGGAAACTCAGCCTTGCTGTTGTATATGATTAATCCCATTTTAGTGCTCTGCACATATCCATTGTTGTTCGGTGTTTTCCTCTGGGTCCTTCCAGTTTATCTTCTGCCTTAGCTGTACTCTGCTTTTTTTTTTAAAAAAAAACTTTTTTGTTTTTTTTTTTTGTGATCAAGTTAAAATGTAATGTACCCTACTTTTTTGTGCAGTATGACACTTATAAGATGGCAAGAGTAGAGGAAGCCAGGGGTGGGCATGGTAACTACAGAGAGTTGGTGTTGGTGGTGTGCCATGGACAAGGGACTGACCGCAGAGTGTTTGCTGAGGAAAACAAGCAAGGATAGAGCAGGCAAGGGAAGGGAAAGGAGATGTGGAGATAGGAGGTTAGAGCAGCTGGGAGTCCATACACAGCCCACCCAGCTTCCTGAGAACGCTGAGAGGGGGAAAGGCATCCTTCCTGTGAACTTTGCCTATTCTGTGATCACACTGAGAGGATGGGAACTCTGTGAAGTTTGCTTCACAGGAAGGTAAAATCCTAAAGGGAAGCACCTTGCTGTGCAACTGTTTGGTTTTATTGTAACGTAAATCTTCTTTAGTTTTTATTTCTACCTCGAGAGGCAGAGTTGAATACTATTGGGAGGGGAATGGAAAATTATATAGGCACCTAAGTTTCCTTTCTAGTTATGGTCAGTGTTTACACTGAGTATTCATGATAAGCAGTGCACCATTTTTTTTTAATAGGCTATATATGTCAAAAAGGATGTTGCTTTGTGGCAAAAACATGGACAGAACTTCTGAAACATGTGAGAGAAACCCATAAAGGTAAGGCAGGCATGAATGGCAGGCATGGGGTAAATGTCTGTCTCCACAGAACTGATTTAATGCTTTTCAAGAGTGAAATGCTGTGCGCTTTAAAGTAAAAGAGTTTCTCTATGATACTTTGTGAAGTGCTGAGTATGACGTTATTGGAACAGTGTGTAGAGCTGTGCCAGGTCTTTGAGCCACGCCCACCGTGCACAGTTAGCATCCTGGAGGCAGTGGCAGGTCTACAGTGAATAATCTTGGGAGGCACTACCGTTCTGTGGGACAGCCTGGGGAACAGCACCCTGCATACTGGAGGACAAGGAAGGACACTCTGGTCTACTTCATTTTCCACCTGCTCACAGTCACCTTGCTGAGACCCCTGCCTCTTCGCAAGTGAACAGTGACTGTGTGGAATTTAAAAACTTCAGAGAATTGAGAAAAACTTTCTAGGTGATAAAAACTGGGGTAGTTTCCTTGGGAATTTCTGATTTGTATATACAGATCAGGTTTCAGGCACTGAATGTTACTTATGTATTAATTTTTTCTAAATGGTAGTATCTGGGAAATTGGTGAAATTTGTCTGTCTATTCCACCAGAGGAAATACTATGTGAAATATGCCGGAAAACATTTAAACGCAAAGATTACCTTAAGCAACACATGAAAACTCATGCCCCAGAAAGGGATGTGTGTCGCTGTCCAAGAGAAGGCTGTGGAAGAACCTACACAACTGTGTTTAATCTCCAAAGCCATATCCTCTCCTTTCATGAGGAAAGGCGCCCTTTTGTGTGTGAACATGCTGGCTGTGGCAGAACATTTGCAATGAAAGTAAGCACTCACCCTCACACTCGCGGTTCTATATGCTTTCACAACACAGTTCCTGGGAGCCTCTCATTCCAGCATGGGCTCTCTCTGGACACCTGCCACTCTTGATTCCTCTGGGGTGGTTCTTAGGTCTGCAGAACAGCCAGGTTTGCCGAGGCCAGTGGCTCACACAGTGTGGCCCTGGACCAGGAGGGTCAGCTGGGCACTTGCTGTAAGTGCACATTCACAGGGCCCTCTCGAAACCTGATGAATCAGATGCTCCGGGGGTGGGGCCCAGGACTCTTGTTTTTAACAAACCCTCTGGAGGATTCTTATACATTCTAAATGAGAACCAGTGGCCTTAGTATCATATGTTTATTATTAAGAGTGTGCTGATGTTTCAAATGTCTTTTTGGACCACCATCACCTAGGGACTGAGAAGGGAAATGGGCTGCAGGGAGATGAGGGACCACAATGTTGGGGATCTAGTCAGGTAAGGACCTGGCACTCAATGGAGGGGGCCTGTGCAGCTTTGCAGACTCTTGCAACTCTGGCTGGTTCTTACAGGTTCTTAGCGTGCATTTTCATAATGACTGCAGAGGGAAATGAGGCTTGCTCAGTACAGGTCCAAACCACTAGAAAACAGCTGGGAGCTGCTGGTTGCTGGCATTACCATCAAAGCCACGTTGGCTGGAGCTCCCACTGATGTTTATGAACATTATTTAGACAGATTCAGTTAAAAGAACCACCTTCAGCTTGGAAGAGTTAACAGCTTTACCCTCACTTTTAAAAGAACTAAAAACTACTGGTGATTGGGACTGTGCAAATTCCTAACCTCGGTTCTTGGAAAAGGTAATGATTTAAGTCCAGAATTTGAGGAAGAAGTCTTTCCTTAGCTCTGTTGGGGGGAGTTAGGTAGAGGTCAAATGCCTCAATAGCACAGAACAGAAAGGTTGATAGTTCATGTCAGTTCATTTAAATAACTCATGGGGTTTTCATATTAGTATTTCCTATTTTTAAGACATCAACATTTGATGTTTTAGAACATTGTTTTAAAAATGTAACTTTCTCTTTCACTGTAGCAAAGTCTCACTAGGCATGCTGTTGTACATGATCCTGACAAGAAGAAAATGAACCTCAAAGTAAGTTGAAACTATTGGCAAGCTTCGTTTTCAAATGGAAATTGTTTAAAGCCAGATGGAGTCTGTCTGGACCTCTTTTCAGGTGCTTTACTGTGTGAGTCTGCACTACTGTTGAAGACTTTACCTCCTCATAAAGGAATGTTGCATACTATACCTGCTGGTGCATATAACTGTTGTAAAATTAGATAACTTTGATTTTGAATTCTAACTGTCTGTCTTCCTTATTCCCAAAGGTAAAAAAATCTCGTGAAAAACGGAGTTTGGCCTCTCGTCTCAGTGGATATATCCCTCCCAAAAGGAAACAAGAGCAAGGCTTATCTTTGTGTCAAAACGGAGAGTCACCCAACTATGTGGAAGAAAAGGTGCTCTCGACAGTTGCAGTACTTACCCTCAGTTAAGAACTGCACTGCTTTGTTTAAAGGACTGTAGACCAGTGAGCTTAGTTACTTTCTCTCAGAAGCATATTTTTCTTTATTAAAATTGCTGATGCAGAATATTTGATTCCTTATCATTTTCGAGGTCTTTGTTCAAAGTGTCTCTTTTCTGGATCTCTTGAGTTTCTTTATATGCCTTTTCTTCCTTTTTGCTCAAAGGACGAAGAACACACATTAAGGCTTTTCCTCCTTGAACAGCTTGTGGCCTAGATGAGAATGTAGCTATTCCAGGCATAGTCTGGAGTATTTGATGAAAAATATCCTCCTAAAAAAGGAAAACAGCCAAAGATTAATTTAAAATCAGAGGCTTTCTTGCTTTCTAATGTTAACTGCTCAAACATTCACAAAAACCAGCACCCTTGAATTGCTGCTGTCAGTTAAGCGATTAGCTAATCAGTTGACTGAAATCTGTACAATAACACCATGTAACTAAAGGGACATGCTGAATGATTCCTACTTTTAAATCTCTACTTTGTCATGGCACTAAGAGGCTACGTTTGGCCCAGACTACCCTCTCCCCCAAATAGGCAGAAAGCCCTGGATTTGGATATTGGCAAAACATCTCCTCATCCCCAAAGTGTCAGCCAAGCAGTTCCCAGCACTCTACTGCCGCTAACACAGAGTCGCTCTCAGTGACTGAAACAAATGGATACCTGGACTCTAGAAATTCTGAATCAGTTGGGCTGGGACCTATGCTTAAGTGACTGACTCTACTGTGGTGCTGGATTACTAAATCTTTAGTTGGGTGATAAAGTTATCTAACTTAAAAAAAAAAAAAAAGCAAAATAGGTATTCCATAAACTACTGGGATTAGAAACTACACACTTTCTACAAGAACAGTCTACGTAATTAATGCCCCTCATAAGTACAAGAGGAAACAAAAGATCAATCTATAAAGTTTTTTTTTTTTTTTTTTTTCTTTTTTTGAGACAGTCTGGCTCTGTCACCCAGGCTGGAATGCAGTGGCATGATCTCGGCTCACTGCAGCCTCTGCCTCCTGCATTCAAGCAATTCTCCTGCCTCAGTCTCCCCAGTAGCTGGGATTACAGGCACGCACTACCACGCCCAGCTATTTTTGTATTTTTAGTAGAAACGGGGTTTCATCATGTTGGCCACGCTGGTCTCCATCTTCTGACCTCATGATCCACCTGCCTTGGTCCCAAAGTGCTGGGGTTACAGGTGTGCGGCACCGCGCCCAGCATATCAAATTTCTAATTTTCCTATTTAAGGGTGAGATATTCTACAATTTATAAAACAATAGTATATTGCTTTTAAAGTATAAATAGAATGTTTTCATATGGCAAAATATGCTGTGATGGAAAATGTTACCTACACGATGCTTAAAATTTTGAAAAGCAAACTAGAAAGCTGTTAACATGACTGGGTGGAAGAATGACCAGTCACTTTGTCTTTAAACTTTCCACATTTCCTACAATTATATTTTTAGATCAGAAGAACAAAAGCGCAAGCAGTGGCTTGTACCTTCTTTACTTACCCCTTTATTTTCTGACTCGTCTACATTTTTTCCTTTTTTTATAGTAATCCGAACTTGATGTTGCTTCTTAATCCACTGCTGAATGTGTTTAGTCTTTGTGTCCAAATCATTTTGTCCAATATTTGAAGAAAAAGTCAGTTCCTTTGTCAGGGTTGGTCCTGGTTTGAAACAGACAGGGTGCAAGGACTACTGACTAGTCCACTGTGACCCCTGAACTTCCCAATATGCCCTTCAAAAAATCCTAGGCTGCCTCCTGACAGACTTCTTGTCTGGTTTTCAGTTTCACAGACCAGTAAATGCCTTTTCAAATGGGGGAGAGAAACATAAAGGTACCAATTTTTACCTGCCACGGAAGGGTGTTTAAAATCTGAAATCCTTCCATTTATTGTTAACCATCATTTGTTGAAAGAACACCAAAAGACGGTTGTTTAAAGGAGCAGGTTTGGCTTTATGGCACACTTAATATCCTTATCTTTCAGCTGTAGGTTGGCATCTGGGAGTGCTCTCTCCACTCCTTGCTACTAAGGGGTCAGCCAGGCTGTTGGACACGGAAGGGTCCCTACATCCTGTGTTCATGCCCTCTGTTTCCAGAAATCCTGCCTACCGGAAAATTAGAAGGAACGGGCTACTCAGTAAAGGTGTTGGGACAACTGAGAAGTTTATAGATGACAAAAAGTTAGATCTCCCCAGATGTACTAATGGTCTACATTAGTAGGTGAAAAACACAAATAAAAGAAAAGACAGAATGGTTTATGATCTCAGGATAGGGGAAGGAATTAACAACAACAACAAAAACAGGCAAAA